CCGCTTTATTTTTTCTCATCATTTTCTGCCTCATTTTTTTTATCGTCTTATCGTCCCCTTCACATGGCGCGAAAAAATCTCTCATGTTAGTTGTTTTACCGAGAGCAGTCTTAGTCTCTTAATGTGATTTATTGCACTTCCGATCTAACTCACTTTTGCGCTGTGACGCTCCTCTCCTTGAGCATGCTGGATGTTGTTTACTTATCTTATAATATAGTATGTCGTACTATATTTCATCGTGAATGAACGTGACACTACGGTAAACCTTTTCCTCCTCTGGGTGGAGGGCCGATCAGCAGGAAACGTGGATCCCTCCGTTGCGAAATCTCGTTAGGAGAGGGTCGGTTGTAATTTCTGACTGCTGGAAGGGATACTCCACTATCGCAACATTAGGGTACCAACACCAAACTGTAAATCACAGTAAGAATTTCAAGGACCCCGAAACTGGTGCACACACCAACCACATCGAAACAACGTGGCACTGCATAAAAAAAAGCAAAAAGAGTTTTGCCAAGAGCTTAATAAGCGGCTACTTTGCCGAATTTATTTTTAAAAGAAAATTCGGAAAGCAGCAGCCTTTCTTAGAATTTCTTAAAGCTGTTGGACTACTCTACTCAAAGGAGAAGGCCATCTTGGCTCTAAGGAGCAAAAACAAGCCTACATGTAGATCTAATCAAGAAAGTCGGGAACCTGCTGATAATCAGGAAAATCGGGAACCTGCTGGCGCTGGTCCATCCGCCCCTTCTGGTCTCACTCCACTGCCTCCCCCTCAAAAGAAACAGCGGCTGGGATCAGTTAATGTTAATAGTGAGAACCCTGCACCTCTTCCTGCGGTAAACGTCCTAATCCGAGGATTTGATATCCCGGACTTTGATCTTTTCAACGATTCGGATGATTTTCAAGAGTGATGATAATGCAGGTCAGTTTACAATTTTGTCTCGTCCCCCTTCACTCTCTCTCTCTCTCTCTTGGTATTCTGGCAGCCCTCACTCACTCCGCCTCGCGTCGGTTCCTCGAGGAAGTCTCGCAGCCCTCACTCACTCCGCCTCGCGTTGGTTCCTCGGGGCAGTCTCGCAGCCCTCACTCCCTCCATATCGCGTCGCCAGGAACTAATTCGCGTAGCGGTCGATTAGGACCCATGACTGTACAGTCCGTTGTTTGCCTAGTGCGTATTAATAATATAAACACGGTGGGTCCACCAAAGTTCAATCCAGCCACGACGGCCAATAGACAATCAAACCGAACAGGCGAACAGTTCTGCAAATTGCAAAGAACATATAGCCTATTCTGAGTCAGCAGGCTGCCGTAGTCTGTAGTGCGGTCGTGTTGCCACCATGACAGACAAAGTAGGAATCCCTCAATGACACCAAACAAGATGGCTGTTACTATGAATATCAGGCAATGGCGTTTACTTGCCATTCTCTTGCTATCCGCCTCATGTCTACAGTCGTAGGGTCGTGTCGTAGGCAAAAAAAAGCAGATTTCAATTCAAAATAAAATGAAAAAAATGAACAAGAAAAGTGCTTCACCAGTCACTTCAGATCTGAGTATGAGACGGGTCCATGAGTAAAATAATACCTTTGCAGAGAACCTAGGATATAAACACAGTACAAACAAGCATACCTAAATACAATTCAGCCAATTGAACCAATAATTGGAGTAAAATGTCAGGAAAAAGTCAAGGCACCGCTTTACCAAGAACGGAGCATACACCGCTGATTTTTGCTCTTTTCAAAACAAAGTTGGAGTGCTCTCCCCTTGCTCTTTTTTTTTCTTCGGAGGTTCTATAAAACTTTGAGTCAACACACCCTGCACTGAAAACGAATCAATAAAAATTCTAACGCTCCCGAAACGGTTAACATAAAAGCGGAAAACAAAAACTAAATTGCAATAATTGTGAGGATAACAAAGAGCGTACCGGAGGGTTAAACTGGTAGGAACAAATCAGTTGGCCATAGAGAACAGGAGACAGGTAGTATTAGCTTCAATTTATAAAATAAAATGGAGGACGATAGTGACGCTGCTTCCAC